AATTTACTAGAAAGTCACTGAACCTTCCTGAAAGTTTCCTTAGACAAAATATGGGAAGTGCAATGATGCTCTAGCAATTCTGTAGTAATTCAAGGTGAGGGCTACCTAAACTCACTGGGCAAGAGGAGCTAATCTCATGTGAGTTTCGTTCCTGTATTGTCCACATTATCGGGTAAACGATTTTCAAACAAATTCGTCGTGGTTTTCAGAATTTATTTTCGATCTCACCGTTGAGTCAAACATCTCTATTTATTTTTAAAAATCCTAGAAAATTTTCCAAACCTCAGGATGTGTTGGTGACAAATGCCACTCTCGCCACCTACTAAGTACGGGACACAAAACTTCCGGATACCTGCCATATCATTTATTGAGCTCCGGTAAAAATCTGTCAACGATAGTCGCTTCTAAAGTGTCATGATTTTTTTTACAGAGTCGCTTTTTCGAAGCACATCAAGCGAACTACCTATCTAATTTCTTCGTGATTCCAGATTTTCTACACGATACATCTATAAAAAAAAACACTGGAAACAGGACGAAAACCAATGCCTACTATGATTACGTGGATGTCGCGGACTGTCCTGCTCGTTTCTTTTTCTTTTACTCTTATGAGGAAAGATAAATTAAATAAGATGTGCACAACATATATAAAATGATTTTGCGCAAAGTCGTCATAATCAATATGGATCTTACTTACAAAGAGAACTTCTTTATTTCCATTTGGATTAATTAAATCAACTTTTGAACCTTATTTAACTGCATTTTTTCAATTCATAATAGATTTGTATGGTCCATAGTCCATATAAGTCTTCATAATCTGCTCTGTAAACTTCAAAACACGTTTTCTCAAAAAATCCAAGATGAAATATTTTAAAACCATCACCGATTTGATTGTTATGATCAACACTAACATCCTGTGAAGAAAAATCAGAGGTACATGAATGTTGCAAAAAAGTGCCTTCAGACATAGCGTGCGCAGTAAACCGTTGAATGACCATGCATTTTATTGTATTGTGTATTTTAGTAAGCTGGACTATGTATTTTAATGTTATTCACTTGAACATCATTGGGGATACACTCAGCCTGTTGATGTAAACTAATAACTAAATCACTAACGTCTTAGGTTTGGCTTTCAACGTTAGCAGTTCAAAAAAAAAAATGGTGCATAAGAGTATTTAAACCCTTCTTCAAACCTATAAAGGGGCCTCTAACGATACATATACTATCAATTTTATTTACCAACGAACAGCTCATCTATTGCCGTAGGAATATCAGTTCCTTTCCCAAACCCGTATTGAAATTTATACAAAACGTAAAACCTGTTAAAAAATTTAACAAGTCTATTTACTATCCGTTTCTCAAAAATTGTATTGACAATAGACAGGGTGGAAATAGGACGATAATTGCAAGGATCAGATGCATCAATTTTGTCACATTGAGACAGTCAGAGTCAGTGTTGGGAAAATATCAAAAAATCAAATCTCACCAATGCCCAAGATCACAGTTGATTTTCGTAGACAAAAATCAACAAGCATACAGCTGCGGTTGATTTTGCAAGCTGTGATATCGCAGCTCGGAATATCAAGCTAACGAAACTCACCAGCTGCAAATCTCAACAAACTGTGGTGAGATTGAGTTTAATGAGTTTTGCATTACACCCGAATGCAACCGAAACTTCCATAACGGCTGGCAGCAGTCACTTTGTGTCTGCCATCGGTGAACAGTAAAAAGAGATAGCAAACTATACTTTCTCTTTCTAAGAAAACGATGTGCACCGGAATGATTTTTATGTCTAGTCAAGCCTCCGCTTGATTTTTGCACTTTGTGAATAGTCTCGCAATATCAAATGAGCTTGAGAGTGGAAAAATATAATTTGTTCGATGATTTTACCAAACTGCTTGCTTCAGTATGGGTTTGAAAAGTTCCTAAAAGGTATTTGAAAATGCATTTAGGTTATGTTTAATGACACTTGCTGGGATATTATCAGGTCCACAGCGTTTTGAATAGTATCCCAGAGTGTAAAATTATTGACTGCTTAGGCTGAGTGTGAAAGCGTTGCATTGCTCTATCCAGACTGTTTACACCCAACAGTAGAAGAAGAGGCAACGAAAGAACCAAAAAAGCTATTCGGTTCCTCATAAACAGGCGACTCACACCGCTTACCTTCGCTCACACAGCATGTAATTGAAGCATCTTTCCACAGAGAATGAACGCTCAGTCAGTCAAAGCAAAGCTTGGTTACCATCACGGAAGAATAAACGTACTCACTGAGCTATGACTGAGTGCTCTGCTGTCAGTGACTTGTTTACTTCCCAATCATTCAGACTCTCACGAGGCAGTGAAGGATGAGGATGATGGATTGAAATGATATGAAAATTGCTCATTGAATCTGACTGTTTGGCGCACTAGTAATGACTCATGTTTAACCATATTCATGTAGGGTGATTCAGAATAACTGTCACCGATTTCACAAATATGCAATTCTCATTGGGTAAAATTGGTATAATATCAGCTTGTATTGGTAGTAGGATTTGAAATTTCATTCGTTTGTGATTTCAAGCAGCCATTAACGAGAAAATGGAGCATGTCATAGGGATTTGATCTAATATCTGTCCCACTAAGCACAACCCGCGCTTTACCTTTCTTTTTTGAACGGTTTTGATCAAACAATGGGAAATTTCTGTCAAAGATGACTTCTAAATTTATTCACCTTTCCATACGTACCGTTAGATTTGATAAAGAATAACAAATTGTTGATATATTGTTTAAAATCAAATACTGCTTCTTGATTCTGAATTCTTCCTACGAGTTTCAATTCCGTCCTAACGCATTGAAACGCCATTAGATTTTCTTCGTCCTACGGATAAACGTAGAAAAAGGGAATTCGCTAGGAGCGCTTTTTTTGTTTTGAGAACAATGAGCGTAAATAATAGGATTTATGTTGTAGCTATTGAACTAACGCATCGAAACAAACCTATTATTGATTTTTGCACGGTGCAATCATTGATATTTCGATCGCTCTACTCTATATCTGTATAAAATCATATGCACCTTGGAAAGAATGAAATTTTTTTTTCGGATAATTATAAAGGTACAAAGGAACCATGCGTGGAAAATCCGTTCAATACCAAAGCTTACGCGCATCAAAAAGTGCTCGAACTACATCGTGCGTGCCAGCTGTGGTTAATTTTTGTGAGAAATGTGGCTGGTAATTAAAATGAAGGGTGGTAGATTTGAATTAAAGTACGCTTAGTTGAAGGTTATGTATGTGTAGTATAACTGGAATATCCTGATATCAAAAATTAATGCAAGCGTTCAATCGTTATGACCATTTTTAAAAGTTACAGTTATTCTGAATCACCCTGCATGTCGGATGTTCTAGGATCTTCTAGCCGTTTTGGAGGTCAAATCTGTTGATCTACGAGAACAACTACGACCTGGAGTCTATGTGCATCATTTGCGATCTATTTACATTCATATAAGACACTCGCGCATTGCAGGGAGAGGGTTATGTTTCAAACACCCCCACCCCCCTCACCACCCCTTACAGCCGTGAGGCACATACAAAACTGTATTTTTAGGCTTAATAGTAGTCAACTTCTGCTTGTTTCATGCAGTAAACTCTCTGCCCCCCTAACTAAATATTCTTCCTAACTGGAAATCTAAGATACTTCGACCACTTTTCCCATACAAATTTAAAAAAAATCTCCACAGCCCGATATTCTTCTTTACTCGATGGTTCTTCAATATCAAGTACGGGAGAGCTGATTGCACCATTTTAATAAATTGTTCACTCTATTCTGTTGAATGAAAATTATCGAAATAGAAATTGCTTGTTCAAGATACTCCGATGCAAAATATCTTACTCAAAAAATAGGACAAAGTTTATTCTTCTTTTAAATCCCTGGTTCTTGAGGCTTCCTTCAGGAGCTTCTTCTTACTACCTCCGGAAGTTTCTTTTTAATCCATTTGAAAGATTTATCCGACTCACCTTGTTTTGACTTCCTTTGAAAATTTCTCCCGACTAATCCCGAATTTTTTTCAGACCTATCCCAAGAAGGCTCTTCCAGTTTTTCTTGAAAGCTTATTGCACCTTTCCTCGGCTGGTTCCAATTTTATGTTGTGTTTATGTTATGTTGCTAACGACTTTCCTCCCATTGCATCGCCTATTAATTGACATCCCAGAAAGCTTTCTTTCCCCTCCAACCATCAATTACACTATCTCGATCACGCATAAGTCGAACTAATGAACGAGCTTCTTCCCATCCTACTTATTGGCAACTATGAAGGCACGCAAACTTGTTGACCACACCAATGCACCACAACCAAGCTCCTGCTTACCGACGGCCATTCACCAGACTCGCACTAAGTGCGTACGATAAGTTGGTAAACAAAGTGCATAGCGCATGCATAATCTCCTTGCTTTGCAGCACGTGAGTCTGTCTAGGTTGATTGCAATGCATTCGCGCGCGGTCGGTGAACCTCTTAATGTTTCCGTCCGTGGCCAGTCCGAGCCAAGCGAAAGTGATTTGCATAAAACTGCTTCTTCCAAACGGAACAGTTGAGCAGTCTACACTCAGCACCTGAAATGGAAATAATCTCATTAAATAGCATCGAATACCGGTCCGTAAAATAAATCCAATAATTGTTCCTTTTTATGATTCGATTGCATCACACACCGCACCCACCCAATCCACACTCGACGCCAAAGAGATAATTTCCGAGACAAACAAACCAATCATAAAATTACACATTATGTTGCATGCCGTCCAAAACTGCCGCGAGAAACTGAAGACCGGGTCCGGCCGGAACATCGCATAATCGGTCCGTACCATCGCACCGTTTTCCAATCTTCATCTCCGCCAGCTCCGGACGCCCGAAATTGCACAATAAACCCACCGAATCAATCCGATATACCTACCTATTAGCCATCAGAGACCCACTGACATGGTTCATTTTGTGTGTTTTGTTTTGATCTTTCTTCCGTTGGTAAATGTGAGCAGTTTGTAGTGTTTGCCTCCTGCCTGCTGGCTTTGGCCGCCGCCTACCCGGGAAGCTACGGCGACTACTACGGCGAACAGGAAGTGGAACAGCACGAACCGCAGCAGCACCAGCACCAGTACGGACAGGTTGCGCGGATTTCGCTCGGCGACGGAGGTCACGGACACCACGAGTATGCCCACCACGAGGATGAGCACGTCGATTACTATGTGAGTACTTGAGCGTTGATTACGAGCATTTTAACGTTGATTCTGTTGCAGCTTATGTTAGGTCAAATGGAAATCTGAAAGTTTTTGAACAAATATCAAGTTGTGAGCCCAGTGAGGATTTCCTATATTTACAATTAATGGCTAATACAATGTTTTCGGATAAGTTGAGTAGGTAATTTTCCAGGACAAAGTGGTGAGTCCAAACCACGGTTGCTTCGGCTGTTTTAGACAGTCTTATCCAAGACAAATCAAGGCAATTACACACTTAGAAAAATTCATGTAAATTTAGGTGCTCTGAGACTGACATATACGAGCGTCAATTTTGACATAAAATTAAGTCATAATAGACGCGAAATTCAGCCCAATCAAACGTACTTTTCGTCGAGTAACGAACTATTCAGTCTCAGAGCACTTAATTTTACATGACATGTTTGTTTACGTCTCATCCTTTATGTCAAAGATGGATTCCATCACGTGTAAAATAAGGTATTTCTGAGTGTGTATAGTTATGTTAACATATTTCGGAATGTCGAACTCTTGATCAAATTTCGGACTGAGAAAATCGGTGATCTCAACAAACTAAGAAATCGGATAAATCAGATAAAATCGTTATTACGTTCAGGTTCAAATGTATATGATTTTTCATGGTAGAATTTTTCCTCATTACAACATGAGCTGAAAGCGGCTCCGGTGATGTAGTGGTAAGCGTGATTGCCTCTCACCACAAAGGGCCTGGGTTCAGTGCCAGTCGGCACCGCCGGTATTTTCTGAGGCTTAAAATCTCTGATCACGCCTTCTTTCGGAAAGCCGAAAGAAGATAAGATCTCTTTGTTGTTCTTTGCAAGTTTTTCATTTACTTGTGAAGTCTAAGTTGAATATATTCCATGTTAAATAAATGCTAAATGCTAAAATTGTTTTCATTCATGCAACGTGTTTAACACATTATTTCTTAAGCCTATCAGCGCGAAACGAAAATGAAAAAGAAGCACGCTTAAGCTATCATCACACTGTTTGACAAAACGCCAAATATTTGGCAAATTTGGACAAATATATTGGACCAAAGTATAATGGCTAAATATATTTGACCAATTTTTGCTATGGCAAATATTTGACATTTAAATTATTTGGCATTTTGGCATGCGTTTTGTTATTGTTTGTCAAGCATGTTTGCTCAATACTATCAAATAATTTATTTGACACTCTGAAATTTCTTGAGTAGCAAACATCAACAAATAATTGTGCAATTACCGGTTCTCGAAAAAAAAACAAAAAAAAATCAAATTTTTTGTGATGTGAGCGTTTTGATGATGGCAGAAGACTATTCCGGTGCTACTTTCGACGATGTGGAGAGTGTTGGAGCTCCAAGTCCAAGTGGGATGTCGAAATGTGCACGAAGAATCGAAGAGTGGAGCGAGGAAGTCACTTTAACCTTGATCGCAGCCGGTTATAAGCCGCATGGTTATAACAATGATTATAAGTTGTTGAGGAAGTCAAAATCTTTTCACTGGTGAACAGTAGTTCAGAGTTTTCTCCCTTCGTGGCGCTAGTACACATGTGAATATCTCGCTTATAAAATATCTCTAGATCCTGACCAGATAGAAAGTTACTGTCCAAGACAAAGTTGTTAAGGAAGTTGGTGTACAGTAGTACAGAATTTTTTCACTACGTGGCGCTATTATACATGTTGGTCATTCCAGCTCAAGTGTATACAACACCTGTGGTCAATGTCACCGATTTGAACCAAACTTTGTCAAAACGCTTATTTTGACATTATGAACAAACGGCTATTTTGGTTTTGCTCATAAGTGCCTGGATCCATCTGGGCTACAACCCTGGATTTTTGAGATATTTAGATATTTTATCTTTAAGGAGATATTACTCCACAACCAAGCAAGTTATGTTTGATCTTGGTACGCAATATTGAAGGTATTTTAATTTAGATTTTTATAGGTGTACTGACAATACAGTAACTACAGTAAACAGAATGATTTCCGGATGGTATTTAAGCTATCAACATATGGACTAATTTCACCCAGGGCGGGATTCTTTATTTCAAATTTTCACTACTTTTTGGAAAACCGTTCTGATGCGACCTACCTTTAAGAAATTCTGCTTCAAAACCAGATAGATGGCATCCAGGACTTCGGGTATGATGTTTGAAATAGTTGGCAGTGGGATGCGAAAAAGGTACTGTATATATTTCTTGCGTCACTTTTCAAATTGACCAATTTTCATTGATCGACTCTATTCATCGACTCTCTTTTTCGTTAATAACTCGACTACTCAATCGTTTTCTAGATGTTTTCTGCTGCTTCTTCCATCGAACTGTGTGTGTCAAAAATATCCGGAAATATCTTAACACGGCCGTGGCAATCCAAAGAGAAAGTCGATGAAGATAATCGATTAATGTAGATAGGACCTATTGAAAATAGACGCGATTTTTTTTCTATTGAAGCTGATATTGTGCCGCAATGTTCTGATAGAAATGTTGCACACAATTAAATCAATCGTTAATCTCAAAACCAACCAATCAGCGACTGGATTCAAAACTGGATCCAAATATGTACCTCAGTTGCATAGCCTTCACAGCTAAAAAAAAGTAGTGTAAATTTCCGTTACTATGATGCACATAAATGGAGCGTCATAAATCATACCAATTTACATTATAAATCGTGTAAATTTATGAGACATGTCATGCAATATTCCATATATTGTATGCAACTTTCCACCTTTGTTTGCAACATTTCTTGCAAGCTGCTAGTTTACGTGAAAAGGAAGTTTACATACATGAATGTTTGCATGCATGGATGTTTACATCACCAGTAAAATTCAGATTTTTTTAGTGTGTTGTCATAGCATTTCAAGCTGAAAATTGCATATCGACAGTGAGAACGCATAAGGGCGTGTACGCGATGATCGAGACTCTTCATCGATTTATCTTTGCATTGCTACAGCTAAGCAAAACAATTTTCTGGAATTTCAAGCTAAACATTGCATTAGGTCCTAAGTAACATTGATCGATTCTCTTCGTCGACTTTCTCTTTCGTTAATAACATTAGCACTTAACCGTTTTTTGTTGTGTTTGTCGTATTAGATGCTAGATAAAAACTTCTAGATACGAAATTTTAAATGTCTGTAAAAGCCATGTTCGAGCAAAAATGACCTGCTTTTAACGAATTGAACCTAATTGAAATGGGAATGCATCCAATTACGCCATATACGTTAAAAGCAATTAATAACAAGATAAATTACGATTGCACGACAAATGAGGTCAACTCAAAGTTGAGATTAGTTCACTCATATTCTTGAAAACGTAGTTAACTCATAGACTGAGTAAAACTTCTCGACCTTTTACAGGAATTTGTTTACTAATATGAGCAACATCTCGATGTACTTAAGAAATTAGTACATGGAAAAAAGATTTCATGTAGTTTCTATTGGAAATGCCCATCATATTTTTCCATTAATAACACCAATGATATCTATCAGAATTTCGCATAACATTCATATGATCACATGAGTTCTATATGATAAATCATTTAAATTTCTTTTGACAAATAAGGTTCATGTGAGTTTGTGGTACAATTCCCGATTATGATATTACATGAAAGTTTTGTGAAATTCTAATGAATATTTTCCATTGGATATGTGATTTATTCTTTGAGTGTGTACTTCTAAAATGAGTAAATTTTCGTAGATTTTTGTTGTATTCGAAAATATTTATAAGACTCGAAATTTGATTCAGCCTACAAGTAAACTACGTTTTCTAGAGTTTGAGTAATTTAATCTTAAATATGAGCCAATTTTATATGCCATGTAATGTGGAAATCCGTTAGTTATTCAATACTGGTTCTTTCACACGCCAGCAGTGGGGGAACGAGCACATCTTAGTGAGAGATTCAACTTTTCACCACCTAAATATAGATAAATCGACAATCAAAAGAGCAATGTATAAACTTGTTAATACAATTCTAAACACTTCTTGCTCAAAAAGTGTTTATGAATCAGGATCAGGGTTGCTGAAACGCAACATATTCATTACATTTTGAACCAAAATTACAGCACCTGCTTAGGTGATTATTGCATGTTCAATATCTGGAAGAAACGATATTTGTCCGGAGATTTGGCATCATAATTGATGGCTAAACGTGACCAAACCCAAGACCAAACCCAAGACCAAACGATAGGTGCCATCGATGCTGATCTTCACCCGATGCCTGATATTGGGGAAGTCTGTTGATGTAGCGATGGAAATTACTTATGACCTTAGAGATATTGGAGAATTCCCATTCGTGACATATGCGTTTCCGTACTTCCTATAATGTGTGTAATGCGCTATACTATCACCTCAAAATTTCAAGAGCACAGCTGCCACAAAACATACAACAATGAAACTGGAACTTCACATTTGATGCAGCAGAGAGGGAGTTCCAATTTCATGAGTGATGTCACATCTATGTCCAAAATGTGTTCTCTAGAAAACTTGAAGTGATAGGGCATTTTAGCCATCATCAGGCAATTTTTGGACCCTTTAAGGAATCACCATTAATAATTTTTGATCATACGATTTTCGAACAGATTTATCAACCAAAGGGTTAAAGTTTGGATCAGCACGCCTACGCATATTAATTTTACCATCGAATAGGAAAGATTTTTCCCTAGCCGACGGTGTTGTTGATTTGGCAAGGTGAGCTTTGATTTGTGAGAAAAGATTGGTTGAGATTTCACGACGTTCCTTTCTTATAAACAAACGGGTGACTTAGTTACCTGACATGATACTTATAGAGATGTGACCGATAAAAATTAATATTATTTGTTTTTAGATATTTAAGCACGAATCCGATAAAATGGATTTTTCCAACTATAAATCAATAAATCAAACTTTACTGGCAAATTTTGAATAAATCTTGGACTTTCGCCCCCCTCGATTTCATTCACTTTTTCAGTGACAGTGTCTATAGACAGTCAAGTTATAGACCGACCAACGTGATTCGACGTAT